TCAGAAGGAACATTGGCTGACAGTGGCCCATCCCCTGCTGATTTATGGGTTTGCAATTATAATTTACCAACTAACAGTTGACACCATTTGTTAGTCACAAAGGCCCTCTCAATCAAGGCTGGGGATGATTCAAATTCACACCCCATAACCTGGGGCTCAAAATCACACAACCATAACCAGGAGATGATGGTTGAGACACTCTCCAGCTCCTTTCAGTCAAGCTAACAAGGTAACTCCTATCTCCAGGCATCAGGATTTGTGAATCTGTGGTTCTGGGATCTGTTATCCAGAACTCCTCTTGTTTTACTCTTGAGGGAGGGCTGGACACCATCACTTCAGGCCGTGCAAGGGAGCAGACTGCCCTAGCTGTTAATGTCACTCTTGTCTTGGTCTCCAGAGGTCGTCATGAGTAGATGTAGCAGGAACCGTAGGTTTGTCCTAATACTGGAGGCTGGATGGGGATGGGAGTGATGAGATATGCTGCTGACAGTGGTGTTCCCCATGGATGCCAGGGCTGTAAGATGCAAACAAACCCTAACCCATCAGCTGAAAGAAGGTGTGAGTGAAGAGCTGTCAGTCATGCACCTCAGTCCATCACCCGATCAGTAGCTCTGCTTTCTGTGCCCATCACATCTTTAAGTCTCCCCAAAGGTGATATTGCTCCCATGTCACCTGGAGAACTAAGAGAATGGTGTTGTCCTTCTCACTTCCCATTAAACACTGGTATTGGCCTATTCATTTCATCTGGAGCCAGTCCTGGTGTATCCTGGTGCTCTGGATATTCTCTGGATATCCCACCCCACTCCTGTGTGCTCCTTTGGCTGGAAGTTGTTGCATGTTCTCTGTACAAAATAGTTGTGGTGGAAAACTGAGCTTTTATTAAAGCACTGGACTTGGACTTGAGCTTGGACTGCATTCAGCAGTTAAATGACATCTCATGTCATGTATGGGAGGGATACAAGAAAGCGGTGGGAATAGCTGAAACAGGGTGTTCAGGGAAGAGAACGGAAAGACTCTCGCAGCTCCAGCTTCACAACCTGTGTACGTTCTCATTTGGTGATTTAATTTCTTGCCTTGTGGTGGAGCATTAACTTGTGATGAGGAATGAAACCCACCCAACAGCCCTCACACCTTGCAACCCTCCTCACCCTCTGCAACCCTTCTCTTTTCCAGGTACCTGGGCATCACTCGGCCACTGACGTACCCCGTGAGGCAAAACGGGAAGCTGATGGCCAAGATGGTCTTTATAGTGTGGCTCCTCTCTGCCTCCATCACTCTTCCTCCTCTTTTTGGCTGGGCCAAGAACGTCACCGTGGAAAGAGTCTGTCTCATCAGCCAGGACTTCGGCTACACAGTCTACTCCACGGGGGTTGCCTTCTACATCCCCATGGCGGTCATGCTCGTCATGTACAGCCGGATCTACAAAGCAGCCAAGGTCAGCGCCGAGAAGCATCGCTTCATGAACTTCCCCAAGCACTATGAAGAGGAAGGTGTCTATTGCCTGGAGGCCTCCAACCGGAGCCACCACAGCTCCAAGCGCACCAAAGCGGTGGAGGAATGTGCCACACTCTCCAAACTGCTCCGGCAAGACCGAAAGAACATTTCCATCTTCAAGCGGGAGCAGAAAGCAGCCAGGACCCTCGGCATTATCGTGGGGGCATTCACCTTTTGCTGGCTTCCCTTCTTCCTGATGTCAACAGCTCGGCCTTTCATCTGTGGCATCCGCTGCAGCTGCATGCCCCTGAGGCTGGAGAGGACTCTGCTCTGGCTGGGATACACCAACTCCCTCATCAACCCTTTGATTTATGCTTTCTTTAACCGAGACTTGAGGACTACTTTCTGGAACCTCCTGAGGTGCAGGTACAGGAACATCAACAGGAGACTCTCCGCTGCCAGCATGCACGAGGCTCTGAAAGCCACTGAGAGGCATGAATGCATCCTGTAGAGCCGTGCCCTCTCGCTCAGTGCCTGACCAACAAATCCCTGCCTCTCCATTTCAGGTTCCTTGCTTCTCTTGCCTCCTGGGGCTGGTGGAAACCATGCGTGCCATCGTCCCCCCTGCCACCGCTGAGAGTGACATCCCTTCCCCTTGTCCTTGGAGGAGCTGAGGTTCTCCTCGCATTGGGAACAAAGTGGGCAGCCCTTCCTTCTCACCATGTCCCAGGTGGGAGCTGAAAAGCTTGTGAGGAAGACTGGGGAGGTTCAAGGTCTACCACCGACTGTAGGCAAGTCACACCACCTTTCTGTGCCTCAGTTTCCCCATCTGTTAAAAGGAAAAGAAACCCTCCCAACCAACCAACCAAAAAACTCCTAAAAACTTTATCCATCTGTGGCCCTCCACCTTCAAAAAGGGCTCTAAGGTCTGTGGAGGGCACACAATAGACTATGTAAAGATGACATTGGCTGCTCTTCTCTATCGAATATGTCAGCAGCTATAGGCTCTGCTGTAGATCCAAGCACCTGTGCCATCCCAGCTTACACGAACTCTTTCCACCTATGTGACTGCATTTTACACGCTGAGCTCATGTCCAGGTTTGCATGTCAGAGCAGTAATACCAATGACCCCGTTTCCCCTCACACTGTAGCACTGCAGCACTTGAAAGAAGCACGCTTGCAGAACGGAACACAGCTGAACATGAAGCTTCCTTTATGGTTGGATAGGAAAGTCTGACGGGCTCCTCATGAGGGCAATGACAGCTATGTTTATTGGGTTGTATGGTAATTCATTCTCAGACAAGTGATGTGTGTTCATAATTCGTGGCTAATTGACTCCATAAAAGCACGCTTTGGTTGACAACAGAAAGAAGTATGTGATTTCTCTGACAGTGTTTCAGTATGGTGTCCAGCAAGCTTGGAAAAATACACTAAATAATGTATCCTTTTTTAAAAAAGGAAAAAAAACCATCTGGTTTCCTTATTTTGGTGTAGACGTTTCAGTTACCTTGATTTCAAAGCATCCCTTTACTTCTGTGTGGTGGTGGGACTTGTCTTCCTGCAGTCCTCTTTGCTCCTGACCAATCTCATTGTGTGAACCTTGCTTTGCAGCCCCTCAACCCCTTACCCACTTGTAGATGATGCCTGCTCTGTGGGGTCAGTTGTTTGAACATCTCTTATCTGGGTTTTCTTGTCAAAGCCAGACTGTTCAGAGGCTCAGGCAAAGAGGTTTCACACCCTCCTGCCACTATAGGTTTTCTTTATCAAGCAAGAGTGTACGACTGGTGGTAGTCCCATCTCTTGCAGTGTCCTGCAGTATGATGCCTCCGTGCATAGCTAAGTTGGTTGTTGGATCTCTTGGTTGGCTGCTGGCATGGTTTGGGTTAGTAATCAAGATTTCTCCCATGAGATCTTTTGTGCTCTCACTTCTCTTTTTGATAGACATTTCTATCCTTTTTCTTTGAACACTTGCTTTTTCTGGACATGCCCAGCAAGGGCTCCAGTTTAGGCTGGTGATTTACAGCAGGGAAAATGGCTTAAGCCCAGGGGGCTTGAAGGGACTGAGAAGTTGTGCACAGAAACAACAGGGTGCCCAGATATTCTCCAAGCTCATGTCCTCACAGCCAGAATTTCATGCAGGAACAGAGGAGGTGGTTGTAGCTGTTGTATGGGCCTCCAGTGGGAAATGTTTAAAGAGCAGACAGCAAAGAGATTTGAAGGAGGACTTGGTCAGGAGGGATCATGAAGGTTTAGCTGGAGCTCTGCTTCACCTGCTGTCCCATGCAGGAGCTCTTTGAAGAGCAGTGAGTGATGCTGCTAAGGTGGTTAACAGCTTGCTTTCTATCTATCATCTCCCATGTTTTGCTACCTATGTTGTTGTATGTTGGTGTTGGGTTTGTGCAAGGCTGCCTGGACCAGGCTGCCTGTTGAAGGCAGAGCAGCACATCCCTTGCAGCCATGTTCAATCACTTGCCCCTGCTCCTTGACCCTACTAGGGCCCCTGGGATACCCTGTGGTCTTGCATCCTGCAAACCAGAGACCCCACCGACCCTCCCTCTCTTGCTTTCACATTTCTGCCACATGAACTGGTACTAAACCTTACCACAACCTCTCTACTTCCCCTTGATGGTGTATGTTCACCTTGGTGCACTTGCTACTCATCCCCCTTCCCCAGCTTGGTTGCAACTTCTCAAGATGCTTCTGCTTCCAAGTCCATACAATAAGTCATAGAATCATAGAACAGTTCGGGTTGGAAGGGACCTTTGAAGCTCATCTAGTCCACCCTCCCCGCCTTGCAGCGAGCAGGGACATCTTGAACTAGACCAGGTTGCTCCAAGCCCCATCCAGAAGTCCCCACACACCACGTCTTTAGGGCATGGTCTGACTGCCATGACCTGCTTAACAAAACCAGCCCCTTTCCTCACAGAAAACACTTTGGGCCATCATCTCTTCTGCCACAACATTTTAGCAGCAGCTGGTCTCTGGCTCTGGCCTGCCACAGGGACATGAGATTCCCGCAGGGATTCCTCCCAAGGCTCCCCCAGCTCCTTCCCTGACATGAAGCTAACGGCGCTCTTTTGACAGAGCTATCTGGATTAAAACTAAGCAGCTGCTAATTCAGACTCTCTCATCAGGATCTGAAATCCCCAAGAGAGCCCATTTCATATTCAGCACATAACAAAAGACTCTGGTTTGTGCTGCTGCAGTATATTTATATGCCTAAGGTCACAGTGGCATGGTTTTGACTTATTTTCTGTATTAAGCATTCTTAAACTGCCTTCAAAATTCATAATCTTGTTTCATTCCACTTAACATCCCTATTCTGGTGGTACTTCTAGCACTGCTTTAAAGCATTCTGCAGAAGACCTATGAAACCATGTTTGAAACTTAAATGAAGTCATATGAATATTGTTTTTTCTGGTTTGATGGTTCTTCCAGAAAAAAAAAGAGTGGGAGAAAGAATATAATTCTGGATGGTCCAAACCCCAAACTTCTTCTAAGCAAGAAATCAAGCAAAATGGTTCATTTGTCTTAAAAATTAATGTTTTCTTTGGTGATGTTTTGTATCACACCCAAAGAAGTGGTAAATGCCCCATCCCTGGGAGTGTTCAAGGCCAGGCTGGACAGAGCTTTTGGAGGCATGGTCTGTGTATCCCTGCCCACAGCAGGGGGGTTGGAACTAGATGATCTTAAGGTCCTTTCCAACCCAAACCATTCTATGATCACTCAAGGCTTAATGGTCACCTTTTCTTATTTGTTATCTTATATATTCATTTTAAGCTGTAGCTGTGTTGAAAAGCAAAGCTTTGTTCCCAGTAAAAATTCCAAAAGCGTGTGTCCAAAGGTATTTAAGCATAACTTCACTAAACCAAACCATTCCCCTATAAAACCAAGACAGCTTGCATGGGTTTTCCAGTAGTTATTTTCTCAAGCTGTGAGACATCAACTTAAACTCTTGTGTTTTAACTCCCCAACATTAAATTGCATTTAGATTAAACAATGTGCAGCCAAAGACATCAAGGCCTTTTCCATACATGAGTGAGCACCACCCATTTAGTTAAAGCCAGTCAAGATCCTTGTAGATGAGCTGCTAAATCATGCTGAAAATACTCAGTGGGTTTTTCCTTTTTTAATCAGACAGGAATCAATGCATTCGGCATCTGAAAGAGAAAGGGCTTAAAATAAACCTGAGCCATTTTGAAACTGATTTTAGCGCACACAGTGTGCCTAAGCAAACTGTGTGAGATGTGAGAGGAATCAGCTCTGTAAGAGTCCCTGTTTAAGCAGAAATCTGAGCTCATGGAGAAGAGAATCAATTTGGGAGCACAAGAGAAACTTTTATGGACAATTGGAGAGTGCCAGGAGGGGAGCAGCAACACGGTGGAACAGAATGAGGAGGCTGGGGCAGAGGAAATTGAAGTAATTCGGGCATAAAACAAGTAGGTCTCAAGTCAGATTTTTATTCCACTCCATGTGCAGGAGAAATAAATACATACAGAAACATAGGCAGAGGTGATGTGGGGAGAAAAGACAGTGTTTGACACACCCCTATGGCTGCCCCAGCTGGGGTATGGAGGTTTTGGTAAAGACATAGAGCAAAGCCAGGTGAGATCAGCCAGAGATGTAACGAGAAGCCCAAGGCAGTAAAAGCCTGTAAAAGCCCATGTGTGTCTTCCTGAAGAGTGTGAAACCTGCCCACTCTCTGAATCCACCACTTTGTGGATGAGTTTGGCTGATAGAGATAAGTGCTGGAGATTTGGAGAGAGCTCAGCAAATCCACTGTGTTCTTCACCTCCACTCGGGTCCAGCCAGCTCTATAACCTCCTGATGACAATGTAGTAGTGATAGCTGAACCACATCAGACTGGAAGCTGATCTAGACCAGGATCCTACCTTGAGCAGAGACCACGGTGGATTCTTACAGAGATAAACCAGCAAACCCATTGGGGTATCCTTCCTTGTCCCAGAAATTCATCAACTTGCTGAGCCAGAAGCACTCTCATATATCTCAATAACATCCACTGGGTGCTTTTCTTCTCACTTTTTATGTTTGTCCCATTCTGCTATCCTGAGGCAATGAGCTCCACGATTTAATTACTTTTCAGGTAAAGAACTATCTCCCTTCACTCATTTCAAACCTACCATCTGCTCAGCTCATTAAAAGCTGGCTAATCCTTGCATTAGGAAGGAGAATGAGTGATCATCCCTATCCACCCTCTTCAGGCTGGTTTTGCTTTTGTAGACCTCTTCCATACTGTCTTTGATATAAAGTCTATCCAGGCCATGAGTCCTTCTCGAACAGCAGGCATAAGGAGATGCCTTTGGAAGAATACTGGAACAAGAACAGTTTGGACCATATGCCTTCCCACCTTCCACTGCTTTCAAAGTATCCAACCATTTTTAGTTCAGGAAATTCCCTGCTCAGATGTGGTTTCTGTGCAAGCCTCAGTGCAACCCCCTGCTTTTCCAGAAGCAAATGCCCAGTCTTGCATCTGATGCTAGATAACCTCATGCCCAGGCTGGGGCACCTCACAGAGCA